TGCTCGCAGGGCCCCCGTGCTGGCTGGAGGAAGGGGGAGCTGGTGCTGAGTTCCTCGTGCGGGGGTAGCTCAGCTCTTGCATTTCCTGGCACGTTCTTACCTTTCTTTTAGAGCGGCTGTGGCAAGTGTGGGGTTTTTGTTAGGTGATGGTGTTCGTCGTTGCAAGTGCAATTACCTGTTGTCATGAGCACCACCCTCTTCTGTTGGAGTGTCTGCTCATATTGCATGTGATTACTTGTTTCTGCTCACCGATACAACGCTATTAGCCTGCTCCCTAGGAAGACCTACTCCAAACCTGGCTTAGGTTTCCAAGGCAGAAGTAGTATTTAGTAGGATTTGACTAGCCGAGCTTTGATAAAGGCCTGTCAAATACACCCGGATGTTGCTGATTAACATGGATAGCAGCAACAGTGCTTTAAGATGTATTTTGCTATTTAAGATACATGGGTAAGAGGTATTTTTATGAAGTTGGGAAAACATAGTATCAGCAATTCCCTTGTCCACAAGCTTTCTCATACTGATGTGGTAGGCTTTTTCTTACTGCATGTTGCAAATTATAGGGAAGTTATTAAAACGTTGCTTGTATTTGGAATGTCTTCATTTTCCTGTGTGTTCTGCCATTTGTAAAATGTAAAGTAACATACAATAATGCTTTTCTACATCTTTTTCAGAAAAAGTCCTTGGAGTCCATAAATTCTAGGCTTCAGCTGGTTATGAAAAGTGGTAAATATGTGCTGGGGTACAAACAGACTCTGAAAATGATTCGGCAGGGCAAAGCCAAGTTGGTCATCCTAGCCAACAACTGTCCTGCTTTGAGGTAAGATGTATGAAAAAACCAATTCTGTTCAAAACTAAGACAGGTTCCTTGTACAGATGCAGCATATACTTCATCTTAATTGCTACAGTGAATTATTGATGCAGAGTACTTTGGTGGCATATTCCAGAGTGCTGTGAAGTAAAAGTGGTAGGTTGTTTGGTGTATAATAATTTCAGATCTGGATGTATTGAAATGCTTCCAACCTTTTTCGAGCTTTCTAATTCAAAGAGTTCGCACTAGCGAAGATACTGGAAGCTTTTCATACTGTGATACCCTTCCTTAATAAAAGTATAATGGGGCTGAATTCCTGTGGGTTTTTTAAAAGTAGCGTACTGGAAAACAATTTTACAGGTAGGAAAACTGATAAATGACACTAATTTAAAATATTTGACGCACCCAAAATTTTCTGTCCAAGTAAGTTACGCATTTAGGTTCCTGGCCAGTGAAATTGCTTTTTTGAGAATAAAATCTTTACGAGCTTCCAGATATTTTCCTTGCTGAATTTCTGGGCCCTTTTTGTCGTCTGGGCGTATTGACAGATTCAAGAAACCATAAATGCAGAAAACCAAAATTAGATGCTTGGGAAATGACAGGACTGCTACAGTAGGCAGCGTGTTAGTGGGAATCCCAAAAGTGCTTGAGGCATGCATTGACCACTGGAGTCTCCTGGTGGAAATGGGAAGAGAAGGGAATATAGATTGACTCTTCTTTAAAGAAAAATGCACCGTTTCTTTCACAGCTAGCAGCAGTCAGATTTCTGTTCAGCATCTGGCCACTGAGTATCAGCATTAATAATGGTCATTGTTTCTGCACTTTGGCTTTGCTCCTACAACCTTTCAGTAGTCTGGAAGTCCTGAATCCCCTTATTTCCTGTAGAAATGAGCATGTGTAGGAGGAACCTCAAGGATTTGCACTCCAAAAGTGGGTTTGCTGTTAACATACATTCAGCATGCTTCTGGATAAGGGTTCCTGAGCCGCAACAGGGTAGTGATGTTGTCTGGCAAGAACAGATGTGTTTTTCTGGGTGGGAGGGAAAACTGTGTAAGATTTAAGTGTGATTGGAGTTAAATATGCACTCGTGGTATGAATCGGAGTTGTTTGTCAGTACTGTAACAGCACGGTTTTGCATTTCAGAAAATCGGAGATCGAGTACTACGCCATGCTTGCCAAGACTGGCGTCCATCATTATAGCGGCAACAACATTGAACTGGGCACAGCGTGCGGAAAGTACTACAGAGTGTGCACGCTGGCTATCATCGACCCAGGTATGTCTGTCTGACAGTGCAGTGACCAGATGAGTGGTTCCTCCGCTCACCTGTGAGTAGCAGCACTGTGCAAGTAACCTGTAGGGGTGATGACACACTTTGCTGTCCTTTTCCGTCAGGTTTAATTCTTAATTAAAACTTCCTCTGACCAAGATCCAGTTCTTTTGTGAGTCCCAGGTTCTTAGAACCCGGAATTACTGCTGCTCATGTTTGCACAGAGCTCCTTTTACTGCTAAACCCTGTGAGCGTGTGTTTTGTCTACCTGTTGGTCTGTAATGAGGTTTCAGTGGCTGGGAAGCCACTTCGTGTGTCTCAGCCCATCAGCTAGGGTATGAGCTTGTGCAACATTCTGTTTACAGCAGCCTTGTTTGACTGTTCTTAATCCAAGACAAAGGATTGTGAGTTGTCCTGCTTTCCATAATGATAGATACAAAAAGAACCTGTATGCAGGTGGATACTAATCCAGGGTTGAAAATTACAGGAAACATTTTATTTTAAAACTAAGTTTGTGTGTAATTACCACGGTTTGGTAGCATTCTTTGTCCCAGAGAGTTGCTCAGGTTCCTCATATAGATTGCTAATCAGGTGACTTCTCATCCTCTTTCCAGAATCTTCTAAGAATCAATCTTTTGTTCTGTTTATTGACCAAAATGCATACACATAGATTTAATGATTTCTGTAATAATTTACATCAAATGTTCTCCAAGTGACATCGGTTTGAATTTGCTGTTTCCTCAGAAAACTTGATTTAGCTTGCTTGTAGTCAAATACAAACTGTAAACTTAATTTTCCAGATGTTACCTCTAGCTTTGATTTTGGGCGGGGAGGGAACGTACTGCGAATATTCTCGCTGTCCTGATATTTCAGTGATCAGGGGAGGCTAGACATTCGCTATATTAAAACTATGCATTGTGTCCTCCAGGGCTAGATTGTTGCTCTAGTACTGGCTTTGTAAATGCGAGTGACATGTATGTAGTTACCATAAAAATAGTGTGTGTGGAATAGCAAAATAGTTACAAGTGGTTTTTATCAAGCCATCAAAATACATGTTTTTTTTTTCTGAATAGACTGTCTTTGTATTGCATTTAAGTTGTTTTCTAGTTGTGGAATCAGTGGGGGTTTTTAACTTTTTGGCTTATTCCTGAAAACTGATCTTTCTGTGGATCCTCTTGTAACAATGTATTTTTGTTTTACAGGTGACTCTGACATCATTAGAAGCATGCCAGAACAAACCAGTGAGAAGTAAATGCTGTAAAGGTGTTCTTTCCACAATAAAACTGGTTACAGATCTGTTTTAAGAAAAATTTGTATTATACCTTTGCTGGTTTTAGGGAACAAACTATATAAATGAAGATTCATTACCACTGCTGTGTTTCCTGTTCTGTTAGAAATAACCTTCACAGGACAAGACTTGTCTGTTTCTTTCTCTAGAAGTTGAGGATCTTGAGAGGTAAGTGGAGGAAGGCTTGATCATGGCAAGTATGGTGCAAGTTCCCAACAGTCTAGGGCTTCCTTAGTTTTTGGGTTTGGAGTGCTAATCCAAAAACGAGGTGTGGTGTGAGGTGCAGTAGCAAATTTGGAATGTTTGCTGGGGGATTCCAAAGGGTTTACTTACACTAAAGAAATTTATGCTGTTTTTACCAAGTCAGTCACAAACGACTAATGCAAATTACTCCTTTGTCTTTTCCTTCCAAGAGAATATCTATCTGTCAGATGGCAAATAGGATGGCTGCTGCACATGACATATAACAGCATGCCTTCAGTAGGATACCAATTAACTTCTCAAAGCTGATTTTAAATTAGTCCGGTTTTGGTTGGTTGGTTTTTTTTTTAGTTTTTTGAAGATGTTATGTTAGGCACAGATGGGTTGGTGTTCTCAAGTCACTATTGCTGAGGACATTGATATCTTACAGATTTGTGCCTGTTTTCTGTGAGACAGTGACTGCAGGATGTTCATTATTAGAAGTGATGATTGAGGCGCCAGTGCTTTGCTGACGTGCAGTAAAAGAAACACCTAATGAAAATCAGCACGTACCAGTACCCTTGCAGAACTTGCATTCTGTTTGCCAAAGGATGCCAAAGCACAAGGTGCCTTTTAAAGCTTGCTGTTAGGTGTCCATGCACACACCGTATCTGAGATCAATTAATTGAGTTTTGCTGCAGCTGCTTCTGCTGCTGGTACAGAATGGGTGAAGGTGCGTACTTCCATTTGGAGATAGTAAGGAGGCAAAGCAGCGTGTGCCAGAGCGAAGGAGGTGCTGGTGTCTCTACCTATTAATCCACAGATCTGGCTTAGTTCAAGAGATAGTTTAGATGCTGCTGGTTGTGTGAAGCAAAGCTAGCAGGAGTGTGCTGCTGCTGCCAGGGGAGGGAGTAAAACTTCCGGGCCCTTCAGTTGGCCAGAAGTGCTGGAAGCAATTTGCTGGTTTCGTTTGTATCTTAGTGTTTGACAAGCGTATGCAGCTTGTATTGCCCAAAGAATGTTTTCAGAATTAAAATACTATTTGCATTCAGGAATGTTTGAGATTCGCTGAATGCTGACCATGGAACAGTAGGGAGCAGTTGCATGGTCCAGATGTGGTAAGAGAAAAAGTACTTGAAACTTTGGGTTGTGATACCCCGATAACCCTGCAGACTTCCTACTCTGCGCATTGACTTTCATCACAGTTGCAACACGAACGTATAAAGCTGCATTTTTACTTCCAACTGACTTCAGTAGTCTACTCTTGTTTGAAGAATATAGGTGAAACCAGTTGCTGTGAGTGCTGCTTCACTTGTTCTGTTTCTATATAGGTATGTATATAGAGAACTATATATATCCCCACTAGCAGAGTGAGCGGAGGAGGGAGATACACAAAAACAAGCCAAATAAATTCATACCCTGAAAGTACTTCAAAACATGGAGGTTTCACTTCAAAAAATAACAGTATTTTATTATTTTGCATAGCTTATTTCAGTTGTTTAGTTCTGCTTAATTAGAATTTTTGCTAGTTACTAAATCATTTATATATATAAAATTTTCAACACTTCTTATTTGCAATCAATGCAAGACAGAACACATAGTATATAGATGCAGGGATCCAAAATACTCTTCAACTTCAGACACAAGGATTTGTTCCTTTACTTTGAATCAGTTTAAGAAAATAGCTCTGACAAGTTTGTATATATAAATATACAGTGTAGTATACACTTTAAATTTGGATCAGTATTTTAGCCTGTTTTCCAAGTCTTCCATTCTCTTCGTCATTTCTTCCAGTAGACAAAAGTTAAGGAAAGAGAGCCCCAAATGGGATGCATTAATAGAAAACCAGTGTTAGCTGCATGTTTGTTAGGGTCCATAAACTTGCTGGTTTCTCCTCATTTACCCTCTTTGACTCCCAGTAGTTTCTGCTGCAATACTCCCCTGTATTTTCTTGTTCTGCTTTGATGGCTGAGTTGAGAAAGCTGCGTGAAGCTTTACTAACATGTGTACCTGGACGTGGAGTTCAGGCTGCAGCTTATTAAAAAGACTGGTGGTTCTGAAAACAGGCCTTTTTCCTTTTTTATTTTAAAGGGAAGCTAAATATTTATCCTAGTTTAATGCTGTTTAAAAATGTTTTACTTAATCACATGGAAAACTAGGTAAGCTAACACTAGACTACAAAACTGTACTGAGCTCTGTGACTGCTGTGAGAATGTCTGCTGATGATCTTACGTTCCTGCACTGTGGTGGTGCAGCGTCGGGTACTGTTTTTACAAAGCCAGTGGTTTTTGGACAGCTGTGGAGTAGAGCCCAAGCTCTGGGACCTGGGGCGGGCTCCGCAGAACGAAGGAAGCTGTAGCAATGCAAAGCAGCGTACAGCATCATTGCTGATGAGCATCCCCAGCTGGCAGGGATGCTGTGTCTGCTGCAGGAGGCTGACTTGGTACCTGACCACCTCCCCCAAGAGCCATGGTAAGGCTGGAGGTAGGGGACGCTGAGAGGAAGACGGGATCTGGCATCAAGAGAGAGCTCAAGGCACTGAGGCCCACCTTAAAAGGACTAAGTTGCATGCATGCCCCCCACCCCCCTGTCACATTGACAGCAGAAGAATCTAGCCTCTTGCAGGTAAGGAGCAAGAGTGGGAGTCCTGCTTCCGCTGCTTCTGTGGGGACGAGCCTGCCAGTACACGGGGTTTGTGTTTGGTAATGCCTCAGCTGTCTGTCATGTGGAGGGATTACTGAATGCATGCTGGCATCACTGGAGCTGCAGCCTGATGTCTCCCGAGGCATCTGGTGGATGTTACAGATAGTGTAATGGCTACTGTACTAACAGCTCCTTTGAAAAGAGACAAACCGGGGGCGGGGGGAGCTATCATTCTGCAGTTTGATAATTTTATTCTGCATATTATGCAAAATTAATTAGACCTCAGTCCTCTGAATTCCTCTTTGTTTAGAGTATTATTTTAAATGACTCGCTGCATCTGGTGCTTCACCAAGCAGTTCAGAAGGGAAACGTCTGTATTGACTCCTGTAGCCAGTAAATGCTATTCCGATACCATCCGAATAACCCAAAGTAAAGAGTGTTAGTCTTGAATTTGACCAGTCATTTCTTTGCTGACCCTGAAGGTGTTTACTGTTGGGGATTATTAAAAGTTAAGATCCTTATTAATATTTTGTTTCCTTCTATGAAGGAAGGCAGATTTCAAGCCTTACAAGTCTTGCTGCTCAGAGATTAACATTAAGTAGTTGAGCTTTTCATGACAGTACATTGATATGAGCTATGGAGACAGGTTGGACTTGATGCGTTGTAGTTTCGTTTAACCTGCCCCCCTTGTCTTATATGCAAGAAACAGTTATTCTGAAAGGATATATCGCTGGGTGAGTTTTCTTACTTCATTGGTTGCATAGTTCTGGAATGTCACAAGGTTTTCACATTTGCACTGGTCTTTATCCTTTGAAGCTTTTGCTGAAAAACAGAAATGGTCACGCAGAGGCTAAATGCCAAATAAATCAGATGGGATAGTGGAGCAAACGACAAGGAGGACTTATAAATGCAGAGCAGGTTTAATACAGCTTCCTGTTCTCAAAACAGGTCAACATCCAAAGGAATGCTCTGGGGCAGATTTTTGTAAGCAGCAGAAGACAGTACACAACACCTAGGCCTCTATATTCAAAGAGCAGTCTGGATTATTCTAAACAAAGGTAACCTGATTACCTGTTGTTGTTGAGTGAGTGTGACTGTCTTCAAAAAGATACTTGTGGTGTATTGCAAGATTGGGACAGGCAATGACATCTGTGGTGGCTATTGTGGTTGATTCACGTCCTGCAGGAAACCCCCCAAAAGTCTAAAAATCAAACCCACTTCACTTAATTACACAGTATTTTTTTTTACTCACATGCACAGAGTTCTTAATTAGCAACTAATCTCACTGATTGCAGTGAGGATCATTCATGGAGAGGACTAGGTGTACAAAGGTGAGAAGGAACTGAGCTGTTAGGCTGGATTTATAGTATACGTGATTTAAGTTGTGGGTTGCAGAACTGAAAGGGAGTTGTGAAGGTTCCTGTGAGAAACAAGTGGCTGAAAGCTGAACATGCTTTAAAGTATCAAGCACAGTGTTGAAACACAAGTTTCCCCATGGAGTAATTCATTTGGATGGTGTAAGAAGCATGCAGCCATGCGTTGTTACAGTGAATCTCAAATGTTCTGTACAAAGCAAATTTGAATTGCAGAAAGGAGGGTGGCTTGGAGGGGGGTAGGAAGGGGAATGGGGTGAGCGATTCTCTCATAGGCGAATTGTTAGGGTTCTCTACAGAAGGCGGCATGAAGAGACAACTTAGCAACGATCTGGGGAGACAGCAGGACATGCGAGTTGAAACAGCCAACCTGAAGGCTGTGGACCAGTCTTAGGAAGCCTCCCAGATGATGGATCCTGCTGGTGAGCTGACTCTTTCAAGGCTAGTAGAAAGAAATTGCCAAAGGAAATAAGGTCACAAAAGGAGCTGTACAAATGTTCACGTTCCCTAGAAATGGCGATGTTTCTTACCAGTAACTTGGTGTTTCTCCCTGTCTCTTGTAACACACGGAGAATGCCTCATACCTGTGCAGTTTAGAAGAGGTCCAGTGTTGATGGAAACTCCAGGACTCACCTTCAACTCAGACTATCAGAGGAACACTTCCAAAGCCAGAAGTGCTTTACAAATAAGTTGGTATTAGGGAAGCAATCTGAAAGAACAGCAACCTACTTTGTGTTCTTTAGGGAAAATTCTTGTGTGTTTCACTGTCATCCATCAGTCCTTTGGGGTGAACCAAATAAGAATAAAACCTGCTTGGAGAAGGAAGAAATTCACTCTTCTTCAATTTTCTCCTTTATAATGGGAAACTTTGATTAGGGAGTTGGGAGTGTTTAGGTGAGAGGGGCACAGTGGAGTTTATTTGATGCACTACAGTTACAAGCAAAAATACAAGGTTCTAACTCATGAAGCACAGCCTTGAAAATGTAGGAATTTATTTCAGACTCCACATACCCATCTTTTCAGTCAGAGGGTGTCTGGAGAGAAATGGAAACCTATTTTCTATGTAGGTATAACCATGTCGAGTTGTTTGTGCACTACCCCTTTCTTGCCGCAAGGAGGGTAATGTAGAGGCAGCCTTGGTTCCTTAAGAACAGATTCTTTTATAGAAAACAAATGCTTCACCTTCAATTAACTGTGGAGTCCTTAATGACCCAGAGGAGCTGAAGAACATACACTTAACAATGACATGACTTGATCAACAGTGCCAGGGGAGTGGATGGAGTGCCTGGGACTCTCTCCCTGCAAATATGCCCAGAGTTCCTTCAATGAAAGTGAATGTGTGAAGGTAAAATGGGATGGTGCAAACTCTCCTGATAGGCCATGAAGATGTAGTAGGGAGCTGGAAGATGCTTCTGGGCCCCACAGGTTTGTTATAGCTATAGAGATTTCTGTTGGTCTAGTGAATTCTGATATGCACAATAATAAACAGCTGTGCAAAGCTGCACTGGGAAGGAGATGAGACCCCCTGGGTGGGAGTGAGCATGAGGAACAGGGCATGAACAGAGATGAGTGGTTGAGTAAGAAGGCCAGAGTTCAGGGGGCAGAACTACAATATTTATATATATCAAAAAGTGCGTGGGCACCAGCAGGCGGAAGGAACACAGGTTCCGGAGAAGAGTTCAGGGCAGAGGGCTGTGGGATATCACAAGGTAAGGAATGAAACAAACTGGGTAAGGAGTCTAGCAGAAGAATGATCAACTGGGAACAAGGATGGTGCCATTGCTGGTGTAGGCAGGAAGAAACAGGTAAGATGAACCTTGAGTGTTTGACCCTGGGTAATGACTTGCTCTAGAAGTCGTTTAAGAGCCATGGTCTGATGAGGAGGCTGTCTAGGAAGGGCAGAGGAACTGACCTGAAAAGTTTGAGCTTTGGACACTGGGCTGGTATAGACAAGTAATTAGGATTCAGATGTAAGGGACAGGAAAGAAGACTGATAGATATGCTGGTAGAGGTGTGGCAGAAGATCTGCAGTTTGGGATGGGAATTGGGCATTTCAGAAACACTTCTTCAGGCTTCAGAAACTGGTTGGGGCCCAAAGACTTCGGATCTCATCACCTCTGTAAAGCTGTGAATAATCAGACAAGTAGTGACACAGGCTGCTAAGCCCAAGTGAGTCCCTTGGTGAAGTCAGTGCAGTGAACTTAAGTATTCAAATTTGTTGGGGAACAATGCTAAAGTTGAGTGGTTTTAGTGTTATGTTTTGTAACAAAACCTAAGGATTTTGTTAGGAAAAGCCTGTGAGAAAATGTCTTGAAAAACTGGCTGACCATTTGCAGCAGTGATTAATGATCCATAATTTGGAAGGAGAACAGAATGTTAACCAGTGGGCTGCTGAGTACTGTCATCTAATCAGGGCTGGGGTCTTGTGGCAAAAATTAAAAGCTCCCATAATGCACATGCTCAGAGCAGGGGTGAAGAGGCAATCACAATGAGTGCGGATTATGTATGACATTTCTGCAGCCTCGTTAGTGCTTCCAGTCAGATGAGAAATGAACATTAACCAAGGCAATGAATGGAAGCCTTCCGACTGAATTCCTCTTAATAGGAGGCAAAAGAGAAAACCACTTTTTTTTTTTTTTTACTACTAGTCATCAAGAATAATTAATAGTAATCAGCAGCTATCCTACAAGGCTGATGCTTTCTTGCAAAATGAAAGGAAAAAGCCTCACCCCAAAAGAGGTTTTGGAGTGCTTCTGCTTTACTTGGAAACATGCAGCCCATCCACAGCTGGGACTGGGGATGACAGGCTTTGTTAGTGGAGTCCATGAAGTTCAGAGGATCTCCCGTTGCCCTCATGGGCTGTAGCCTTAGAAGTCCTCAGCTAAGGACCAAGGCTGGAGTAACAATGAAATTACTGGTGTTGCAAAGGAGGGGGAAAAAATAGGCTGCAAACCAAAGCAGAGGGGGGGGGGGGGGGGGGCAACTTGTGTAACAGGCTTGGAGACAGAATTTCTGGTGGAGTGAGTTGATGAGTAATAGGTAGTCCTGGAGTGTCCAGAAAAACAAGGCTGGGTCAGTCCTCAGTTTACAGGTGTGAGGCATTGCCTGTTGGTGAGAGAGGAGGAGGGCAGAAGCTGAGAGGCACCAGCTCTGCCGTTACTAGAGATGCAGTCTAGAAACTGCCACAAAGGGGCAGGATTTACTTATTTTTCATGCCAAGTAAAGTTAAAACCCCAAACACCAAAAAACCCAAACACAATCGTGGTTGCTAACCACCGCTGTGGGTACCTGAAGGATGCATTTCCATCACCGAGCTCTGGGGGTTGCTAATGAGTGAGAATTACACCAGTTGCCAAATAGTTTTGGCTTCGGTGTCTCCCCAAGCTTTTAAGATGACATGCTGTCATCAGCAGATTATCTGCCTAATGAGAAGGTTAATTGAACAGACTTGGTTTCATGTTACCATAGCATTTTGTATTTCAGAAAGATGGAACTAGGACTTAAGACTGAGAAAAACACAAAGAATCTACAAGCTAGGAAACATTCTTTTTTCTTCAGATTCTTCCTTCACATCTGTATGAGGAAGAAATACACGGCTGCTTGCTGCCAATTTTACACAGCACCTTTAAAGACGAAAATAAAACCTATTTCCATTTAATTGCAAGAAAAACAACCAAAGAGAAGCTAGTGAAAATGAAATCATCTTGCACAATTCTAGTGCTATGACTAATATTATTCACAATGACATTTCTGAATTTTGCTCCAGGTACCAATTTGAACGTACAAATAATATTGTGTCCTGGCAATGTGTGAGTGGGAAGAGACATGCTGTCCTCTCTGTGGCTGAACAGCTTTCGTCCCAGCTCACATTCCCCCTTCCCCTTGCAAAACTTTAGCTGGGAATGTTTATATAGAAGCTCTTGGTGCCAGAGTGAGGAAGGGTGCTTTCTGGAACAAACCTTCCACATTTGTGGAGCAAAACTTGGTGCTTATGCATACCTGAGACCCACTCTTTAGTTGTAAATGTATATACAATAAACTATTTTTAGTCTTCTATAAATATGCACAACTCCTGATGATTTGTTTTGCTGTGGTATAGGCTTTTGCCACTGGTCTTAAGAGTATTTTTTTGTTCTCATTAAGGCATTATAAATCCCTGATTATTTTCCTACATTCCTAATGAAGTAGATCGTGTTTCTTTAGTGGGGTGGGGTTCAGTGCATGGCTGACTTAACTGTAGAAAAAGAAAGGGGAAGGAGCAATTGATTCCTCAGTTGTGCACAGAAGCGTACATTTTATGCAACCTTTATGAAAATAAAAGATAGTTATTATATACCTTTACCCAGTGATAGATCTAGTCCTCACATGTTAAAGGGCAGAAAAGCCACAGCGAGTCACTTACGTCTTGCAATGTCTGACACCAATGATCTATGACCTTTACTATGACAATAGTTGTCCTTTTAGGCCTGCAAAAAATCTCTAAGCATTCATTCCTCTTCTGTCTCAATGAAAGCAGAATACTGTTACCTTCACAGATTTGCACTCTTAGCTCTTCACTTATGTCCTCCATAGCTGTGAAATCTTCAGCATAGAAGAGATGTTTATATGATGGCTCAGAAGCAATTTCCAGCAGTTCTTCCTCAATTGCTTTTCCTATTCCAACGGCATAGATAATTATACCTACATTCAAAAGAAATTGCAAATAATTATTATTACATCAGCAGTTCTAAACCCTTATTCCTCCATGAAAGGAAAATATGAGCATTAGTCATTTTAGAGAGAGAGAAAGGCAGAGCACAAGAAATGTATATGCTGTGTAACTTCAAAATTGGTTTCGAACAGACTTAATATGCTTTACTTATTGAGAGATGTGTAGAAAGTCGCTGCTTTGCTGTAATTTAACAGATAGTTTTTCAGTTAAAGAGATGACAGTTGCCTGGCCACTACTGATAGTAAATGAACCCAGAAAGAGTAATGCAAAACATCTAAGAGAATCACATAAGTCAGCCTCACAGCTGCACTGAAAGTTCCTGGTTTGTGTGTGTCTGTGTCCTGGAGTGTGCACAACAAAGCTAATTACTGGGCTGATGGGCAGTCCTGTTATGTATTAGCAAATAGGGCAGAATCCTGAAAGATGGCAGTAATTTTTAAAGAAAAATAGTGTTTCTTTGAAATCCTCAGAGCACATTGAGACTAGATTCTTGCACTCTAAGGGACGCTAGTGGGCTGGGAGGCACTGCAAAGGCACCCAGACCTACGAGGGCAAGAACAGGGGTAAAACCCGATTTGTGGTGCTAGGAGAGAAAATAGCCTTACAACAGGGATGTTCGGGACAAGCATTTCCCCAGCAGAGGTGCCAGGGAGAAAGTAAATGAGGATTTGTAGTTTTCTTCACTCTGAAAGTGGGGAAGGAGGAAGTGGTTCACAGCCCTCTCACCAGACAGATTTTAAACAAGCAATGAATACAAAACATAGTGATCTTCAATATCCTGCTTGTCAGCAGTTATTTTTTAATTCTCATGAACATATGATCTGATACAACATTTCTCTTTACATCAGTTCTGGCTTAGAAAGCGCCCACAACTAGTACTGATTTTGTGATTCATAATACAACTATTAGCTTTATAGTATTTCAAGCTCTTTTATAAGATTCAAGAGCAGAAGCTGCCTTCCCAGCTGGTTGGTTTCAGATAAAACTTAAGATGAAGAGGTTTGATATCTCTTTATTATCACAGGGTAGTAACAGCTACACACTCACTGAATTGCAACTTTAACCTTTTTGCTGAAGAATCCTGGGCCTGATAACATCATAAAATATACCTTTTCCAACTCTTTAACATTTAACGTAAGCATCTCCTCACTTTTTTGATGTGAATCTGGCTACCATTGCACTTTAGCCAGGGAATGGAAACATTCACCAGAAGCTGATCCAATTTAATGAATGGACCACTCATGCTGAGGTCTGTTGCTTTTTAAAGACTTGGAGATATCAGTGATAAAGCATTCAAGGCCAATTTTATATTCAGCGTTACTGCATTGCCTACGCTGCAATTACACAGGGGATGGATTTGGCTTGTAGCATTACAAATATCAGTATAAACAGTCCAGAGCTGAGGTTTCATTCAGCAAGTAAGCAAGGTTGGCTTGTCCC